TACATATATACACATGTATTTATATATACACATACCTACATACGTATGTATATATACATATACACACACATATAAACATATATATATATATATATATATATATATATATATATATATATATATAGTATGAATATATATACACACTATAAATATATATACATATACATATATATGTATATATGTAGTATGAATAAATATATATACACACTATACATATCTATGCATACAGAATGAATGAATAAATAAATAAAATTATAAATATATAAATATACATACTTAGATGTCCGTGTGAGTGTAAAACACAAACACACGCGTGCGCGCACGCACGCAAGCACACACGCACACACACACACACACACATACACACACGCACGCACACACACAGATTTACACATAATACAATGCGCAAACACACCACACTTACACACACACATAGTTTCATCACTGACCCGCATACACACACACAAACACTCACACTCACGCACGCACTGGCTTTCCTACATTCGCATAGCTAAAACTAAACAAGGCATCCAGGAACAAAACAACGTGTCATGGATCGGCTTCCTGCTATGTCGTTTGTTATCGTCTCCTTTCCACATTTCCCCGTGAGCCTTTGCTAAACCTTGTGTTCAACCTTGCGCCTCCGGTTGCCTATGAACACAGTCTGGCAATCCACACCTGGCGCTATGATACCTGCCATGAGCTCGGGCCCAAAATCTAAAAGTTAATTCGTGATGCATCTCAAGAGATCCCACGCCAGTTCAAAAATGTACCGAACGGCCCTTTTTTAACATGCAAATGGAGGGGATGTGACCAAACAAGGAGGGGATCTAGGTGGTTTTATTGGCGTGGCAAGGTGAGGCGAAGGAGTAAGGAGTCATTCGACGAGCGTGTGGCTTTGGCGGAGCGTGGATATATGACACATGACACATGACACAATGCTCGGCGTCGACTGGTAGATTGGTAAAAGCCCGCAGTCACCGAGGGCTGCTCGGGCCACGCAATAAGCTTAAGGCCTGATAACATTAATATTGCACAACGCCACGTCGCGTTTCAGCCGGTGCGAAGGCCGATTCTAGTTCGAGGCTTCAATGCTCTCCTCGGCGAGAACCTGGGATGCCTGGTTCCTCTTAAAAAGGGTGGGAAAGATCGGCGTCAACGAGGCTCCATGCTCGCTCAGGGACGGCCGACCCCCGAGTGATGACGCTCTAGCAGACGAAATCTTTCAAACCTTCTTCTAGCCCACATGCTTGTTTATATCGCTCGTTGCCTGACAGCCCTAGGAAGAACAAGAGTTGTTCACTCACGACTTACCAGTTGTAGGACTGTGTTGACAACCTCCTTGTTGGAAACCTGTCCGACTTCAATAAGCCCGATCAACACGGCAAACTTCAAGTTATCCGCCATGGCCACTTTAACTACATCCTCTGGCCGTTTGACATCTTTAATCGGCGGTTCAGTTGGCTCCGCCATTTTTACTGAACTTTATACACACTGTGACTACACAGGTAACACCTTATGATTCACCATTCACTGAAAATCACCACTCTACACGGGACAAACGTCAATGACGACTGCGGACAGACGCCATGTTTGACAGATACTGAGTTCGTTGGTGGGTGAAATTCTGGAACCCACAGCTTATTCTATAACTTTTCCAATTAGTATTCTTCGTTATATGGTAAAACCGTTGAATTTGAACATAAAATTAATAGTGACCACCAATTAGATTTACAAAACTTGATTGTTATGTTACGATATGAATAATATCGGTGTTAATAATATTTTGAGAAAGTGATGAAACAGTTACTCTGCTGAGAGACATTTGAAATCACTATCTATAATTGCATATATCACACGAAAATTCATATTGGGGCTATTGAAAATGCATCTTATAGTTAGAAAATATATTTACAATCGAACGCAAGGCTGGGTATAGCGAGCGCGGGAAAAATTTCAAGTTTCAAATCTGGAATCTGGGAATCCCTTTCAACTACGATGGCTCATTATATTTTTATGGCTCATTCATTTTTAATCCACTTCCAATGATCCTCCTCGCTTAATCTCCTTTACAAATATGCAGTACATATTGAATTTTCAGGGCTGCTAGAATAGTTGCATGACTAAAATCAAGAAGGCCATTTTGAAATATTGATTAGTACCGGCAGCTGCAGAGAATTTGATGTAAAGAATGATACGGAATGATAAAGAATGATAAAGAATGATAAATAATGATAAAGAATGATACTGCCTACATAATCAATACGTCCAGGAAGGATACAGCAGCCGATATACTGCAAATTAAATAAGAGATAGTTCGTTTTCCAGCATATCTGGAAGTATAAGTCAGTTATTATAATAACCATGAAGCTTGTGGAAACATGATGTCTGACAAAAAAAAAACTAACTGTAATTCTAACTGTCCGATAAAATTCAAATTGCTTATCAGTTACAGACATATAAGGAGATATGAATAGATTTAATTTTATCTTAACTGTCAACTTTTTCATTACCTTTCGGTTCATATATCCTATTTGGAGAAATGCATTATGTCCTTCATAGTTTAAGAAATAAATAAATAAATAAAAAGCAAAGGAAATTAAAAGAGGACCAAGTTATTGTCCACATTTTACAAGCTTAATTGTTCTAGAATGAAGTTTTGTAACTTCATACTTAATCCATCTAAAACTGTATTATATTACAGTGCACATTTAATTGTCCACCATCTTATATTATTTCTTTCACAAGCATGTGTAAAGAAAGCTATTTGAATTTTTTTTTTTATATAGTAGGTATTAGCACTATTAAAGTAATTCTTCTTGACTCTATTTATTACACACTTATTACATCTATGCAAGTCCACAAAAATATTCCTATGGGTCCTTATTGTTAGAAATGTTTATTTATTTTCTGAAATTAACATACAAGATATTTAAGTTATGACATAAGCTGACTCGCTTGTGTCACCCTTGGGATTTTTTTCAATGCTTTTAATAATTATATACCTCATATAGAGGTAATTTTTTATCATAAGTGCACTTTCAATATAAGATTGCATGTGTCATTTAAGTCCTATTAGATTGAATACATCACTGAAATTATAATAGGCTGCATACGTCATTTAAGAAACATTAACTTTATGAGTGTTAGGGTTCAAGGTTTCAGTGCAAAATATTAAACTTCTCTAATCAATAACTGATGGTTAGAATCTGAAGGCAAAAACTGTTGGTAATGGTTTTCCAAAAAAAATGTAATAACATGTTAAAGATTCTTTTCTTCAGGTTGTTTGTTGTTCATAGTGTTTGTCATTATTTTTGGCTGGAACATGTTTCTACTGATTCTCTAAAATGTCCATAGATCATAATATTTTAACAAAGTCACACAAAAAAATATGAATGTAGTAGGTAAAAAATATTCAGCCTGTGCAAAAAGCCTTATCCCGTCTATTTTTTCCCTCCATGCTCCTAATTTTATAATAGAGCTGTCTCAGCTGCTCTCCAATACTCTATACCCCATGTCTCAAATATGGACACCAGTATAGAAATACATGTGACTTCGTTTTGATTTTGGGAATTTACAGATTCTAATAAATGTTTCCTTGGCTATCTGGTAATAGTCACTGGAAAACAAATAATTAGTGATAGTTGTATATATAACGGAAAAAATTGTAGGTGATACGGGTGATTTCCACGGTGCTTACTATCTGTTACAGCCATTTTATATCAATGATGAGGAGGGATCAAGGATGTGAAGGGGAATATACTTCAATGACATTCATATTTCATTATATTAGTATTACTGAAGTTAAAATATGTCCGTAACATATATTTCCTAAAACATAAAATACTGGTAACTGAAATCACCTTTTTTTTTTTTTTTTTTTTGATGTGAGGTGGTAGATGCACTCATCTAAGAAAAGAAATTTGGCACTTGGCATGATGTATTCATAAGGTGTGAAATTCTAAATTCTCAATGGGCATAAAAAAAGAAAAACATAAATCCTTCTAAAAAACAATTGAAAAATTTCACGAAACATTGAATGAAGTTGTTTTCTTTTAATTGAGCATTTTTTTTTTATCTATAATTTTTTCGGGGAAAACAAAATAACAAACTGAAGTTGATAGGTTTTATTTTTAGAATTTATTTATTTCTTTACTGAAAATTTTCTGCCATTTCAACATCTAAGATCATTAGCAGTGATAGGGTGGGGCTAAGAGGCAAAGCCTCCAGGTAAAGTTTTTTGTTCAGTAAAGCAATATTTGTGGATTTCCAGAGTGGTCAATGGTCAAAACAAACAAATGTACCAGGCATCAAATGTTCCACAGCATTATGGTAAAGTATTGTGATGAAAAGGGTAAATATGAGTTAACAATTTGGATAAGTGGACAGAAGTAGATGAGAAGGAAAAAGAAACAGGGAGAAGAAAAGACCCTGCAAAATTAATTAGGCGAGGACTGAGGTCCAATGTTTTACAGCCGAGTATTTACTCTTAAAAAGCAAGTGGTGTATTGTTATACCATTATAAAAATGGATGAGTAGTATGATATTCCCTCTAATGGCATAGTTCTGTTGTATCAAATTGTATATGGCTTCCTCAAAAGTTTTTAAATGAATTTTCATTTATTCATGAGCAAGACAGATACAGAGATTCATTATCATATATCCAAAATAATGGTTACTGGTTCACGGTTAAAAGCAGAATAAATGTGCTATATATCCAAAATAAGCATACTCTGTTCCTCTCCCTTTTCATTAATTCCTTGTCCAATTCTTCAATAGTTATGCTAAAATGTAGAAGAATGTGTCCCACGCTGAGTGCAAATTGTTGATGACAAGAAAAAACTTGCTAATTGTACTAAGATATCCACAATATGTATGAACAATGTCTTTTAATTTGATTTCTACCGTTTTTGAACACTAATGGTTACTCACCATAATTGCTCTTCTTCTTCCTCTCTCTTTCTCTCTGTCTCTCTCTTTTTTATTGTAAAAGAAACATCAACATTTTAAAAAGTTTATTATAAGGTGGGCATTACTACAATATAAAACGTGTTTGTAGAAAGGGAAAATAATTTTTCATTTCTAAATATTTTACATCATAAAATGAAAACAAGGAAACAAAATTACAAACCAAATTTGTCATATCTCACAAGCATACTGTGAATCTTAACCTCTAGACACCAGGCATCGTGCAACTTACCTGTGGATATGTAGCCGACAGATACTAGGACACGTCTTTTGACATTTCCATATTCCATGGGTACAGCTGAGAATTTTATGTGGGAAGTTGACAGGGTGAACAAAGCCCTGTATCTGTCAGCTATCATGTCCATAGAAGTACCCCTCTACCAGGGGGTTAAACTTCATCTGGTAGTGTAAACATTACTAAATGTATTTTGAAAATAACAGAAAATCTGAATATTCAGATAAGAATTTTGGAGCATCTACACATGGCAAATTACAATAAATAACAAATTCAATCAGCGGTAACATTATGAATCTCCATTCAATGTTAATTTCATGTAAATAATTATAGAATAATAGAAAATATTACAAAGTTTATTGTAATAAATAACCTACATTACAAAATCATGAGGGCAATACTACAACAGCTTATTACCACTTCAGCCTTTACCTTAGTGTTTGTAACTTTATAGTTGTTTGAAAAAAAAGGAAAAATGTGCATAAATTATTTCTAATAAGAATAGAGGAAGACTGAAAAATATGGTGAAATTTCCACTTTTGATGTGATAACATTTTGGTAACTAGTATAAATCCATCCCACTGTCACTCACTCTTACGCAACCTTGCACACACATGCATTTATCAGAAGTAAATAACAATACTTGCTATTAGAATCATGGAATTTTGTGTAATTGTATATCATGCAATAAGTTAATAATGTGATGTATGCTCTCCTCCAAAACTAAAACAATTGAATTTTAGCATATCAACTTTAGACCCAAATATATAAAACTACAACAAATACTCAATAATAGCTTACGAAAAATATTTGTCAACATTCTTTGTGGACTACAAACTCGACTTGGAAACATGAGGAACTCAAAGTATTTATATACACTTTCTGATTTATTTATATCTTATAAAAAGATTATTATTTTTTTTCCTGCTATTTACTTCTGGAGCACTACTAAATCCTGTCATTTATATTTTTGATTAAACTCATTTTGCTGTATTTTTTTCCTCATCATATCAATTAAACATAAACTATCTAAATTCTGAAGTATCACATTAGGGGGAAATATTACTTATTTTACAATAAACCAACCTCGTAAATCAATTTTTTCTACGTGTGATTTCTTTTTCTAAATAAAAGGAAAAGTTTCTTCTGAAATATTGAAATATAATCTTCGACACCTGCAAATACAAGACACTAGGAGTTTTGGTAGAAAAATTGTGGAAAAATCTAACTTAGTATCACATTTTTTAATATTAACCATCTATATATAAGCTTGCATATGTACCAAAGAAATGACTAGGAAATAATACTTTGATTGGTGATATGTACTAAGTTATTAGTTGTCTTATACATCCTGAAAGTTTATATATACTGTACTTGTAGATACTACAGCAAAAGCTCCACTGTTTGTTCATGTGTGATATATGGGCTGTATTATATGAGTGAGACTGAAACGGTGATTGTTTTACTAAGTCCACAGCTGATATACAGATATAAAGGTAAAGAAACAGAAACTATAATTTTAAAAATGCTAATGAGATCATCTGTTATAACATTCTGTATGTACAACAGATTTTCTGTATATACAAATAATTCACATGTTAACTTATTATTTTTTTATTAACAAGTCTAATTTGTGAAGTTTTTATCACTAGTATCATTTTCATGTTAAACACTGTTGAAAACTCTGAAGCATTTCTGATACATATCTCTATTTTACTATAATGATTATTCTGAATTCCTTGGTACATCCTTGAGAATATTCCAGTCAAGCACCATAAAAAGAACATAGAAAAACTCAACAAATCAATAATTTGTGAACTTCTAAAAGGATATATTAATGCATGAGGGTATTAATGTATGTGTATTTAACTTCATTATTGTCACTGATATAATGACATATATAACTAGTCTGCTTATTCTGAGCTTTTACTGTAACATTACAAAAATTAATGAAATGCAACATTTACTTCTGGTTACTGATATTGTCAAATGCACTTTTAACATCCTTACTAAGTGGTAACTTGGCATCAAATTTAACAAAGACATAAAATTTAGTGGTAGAAATCATGAAGTCTATCTAGTAAATAGCAACCTCCATAAATCTTTGAAGAGCTCTCCACAAATCTTCTTTTGATGCACCCAATCTAAGACTTTCCCTTCTATGATCACAAAAGTATGTATTATGTAAAAAAAACAAAAGAAAATAAAGGGCAAAAAAAGCTTTAACTCTTTTACTACTGGGAGCTTTTCCTTTCTAAATAAGGGACAATGTTTTATCAAGACACTTCCAGAAAGGT